TTCCACTGCATCAGTTATGCAAAAACACACAAAGAGCTGTGCCTAATGGTCTTCAGTTTGATCACGTGTAACAACTAAATCGTTGAAAATATGAATGGTCGCTGCTTTACAATTCGATCTATGCACTGATGTTGAAAATATACTTGGTCTTTTCTTTTATTTTTCGTACTGTCCAGATGCAAACGCGAATCTTTTTGGCTTCCATTATCATCGTGATAATGACTGCTTCGGCACTTCCCCCTAACAACTTGTATGGGCACTTCACTTCGTTCAAAACCGTCGAACTCACCCTCCCTCTCCCGTCTTTCCTTTCAAACCGTCTGAGTGCTATCCACCTTTATGTAAATTAATCCATTATTCGGCTTATCACGCGGACGGTGACTGCCATCAAAAAATGATGCAAGAACACATGATATGGCGGATTTCTGCAGCACGACATAGCTGACATCAAGCAAAGTCGTAACTGATGGTTAATACATATTTTAGAACAGATACTGAGCCGAGGACGAAGCTCTACTTGCTTGCTTGCCTGATTTTCAAATGAGAAGGATGCCAATAGTTTTGCAATCTTAAATTTCACTTATCCGTCGCGAACCCTAGATTTATGTGAAAACTTATCATACGCTTTAATGCCACAGGCGGACAGGCAGCACGTCCACTCTCTTCAGCTTGTCTAATTACCGACAGAGGAAGGTGCCAACACTTTTACAAAACGAATTCAAAGGCGTCAGAAGGTAAAAGCGTGCATGGAAGTTCATTTCAAGTTTACGGACTCGCACAGAGGCAGCACGTATGTTCAAAAAAGTATAGCTTTTGACTCAGCTTAGTTCCGGAACTAGAAGGACGCCAACAACATCTCTATTTGAACTTTTAATTGCGCGTGCATCTACAAAAAAAAGTCATCATCCTACCTTGTCTAGCTTCCAAAATCGTTTGACTAAGGCGCTTCTGCAAATGCAGTAAGCCTTGAGCGAAACTAAAGGCTCATTTTACATTTATGGGGCCCTACATAGGTCAGAAATATCCTCGTAAAATCCCAGCTTCTTAGCTTATCTGTTAAATTTGAAAAAACTGAGACACACATATACACACACACACACCCACAGGTTTTACGCAAAATGCATTTTTGCATTTAACGACGTAAAAAGGCATTGAAAACTAACATCTAACAAAACTTCTTCCACTGGAGCGCATGTGCTGTCGGGAGTATGAAGCTGCGTAGTCTGATCAGCTAAAATCCATTCTGCCAATCTAGATCTAAAAATGTACCACACGTTAAAACCACATTTCAGACTCAAGGAAAACCAACGGGATGCTACTGCAGTACGTATGTTCCTTCCTCATTTAACCTTCGTGCACTTTCCGCGTCTCTTCACTTCTTAGTATCTTCAACTCAACAAGTTTTTCCGCAGGGCAATGGTGCCACTCCGGAAAGATACAAATCTTTCTTCATTCAAGTTCACGTTAGTTTTCCCTACTAAAATTAATTTAATACTAATGATCCTGGCGTTTGTTGATGGCACGAGATGCAATACGTCCTCGGATCCAGGAATAACTCACATTAGTAATAGCTCCCAGCTCAGCTACTGCTACATCCTGATCTGGCTGAACGCCGTGTTTTGAATCCGAGTACTAATTTTAGCAGTCTATCTACGGCAGCAGAAAATCCAGAGCGTACGCGGGCAAAAATATGACCAATCATCCCTTACGGAGTGTTAACTGCAAACGCGGCATTGGAGTCGAGCCTGCACAAAACTGGATTACGTTGAAAAGGAAGACGATCTCACGAAAAATGTCCAGTCTTGCAATGAAGCACAAAAAGTCAATATTTTAACAAAAGAAGGTAAAAATTTTCACAAAATTAGAGTGTCAAAATGGCTACGAACGTTTGACGTTGTTTTCGGTAACTCACAAGCCAAATTCAATTGGCCAGCGCAGAAGGTAACTTTAAAGTAACCGGCAGCTTGCTCACTTTTCTTTCTTTCCTTCCTCCAAAAGAATAAAACAACTGGCCAACGCACGGGCTGCTCGTGCGAAGATGCGTTTTTTGCATAGTTTTTCGCAGATTTTTGTCGTTAACGGCACTGTTTTTCCGGCAGACGTTTCTAGTTAAAAGAATTTCAGACTGGCCGTCAGAACTGTCAGGAAACATCCCTTCAAAATTCCAGCCTTCTGGCTTCTCAGGTTCCCAAGTTAACAACTTACCCGTAAAAACCATTCACGGGCCCGTACGTGGATGCCACGCATCCCCAAGTACTGAGTTTGAACTCATTAATGCCTGCTTGGACGGGAAAAATCCCCTTAAAATTTCAGCCTTCCAGCTTTTCAGGTTCCCGAGTTAGTAACTTACCCGCAAAAAACTTTCACGAGCTCGTAAATTGAAACCACGAATACCCAGAGGCTAGGTTTGAACTCATTAGGACCTACGTGGGCGGGGAATATCCCCTTAAAATTGAAGTCTTTTAACTTCTCAGGTTCCCGAGTTATCAACTTACCTGAAAAAAACTTTCACGGGCCCGTACGTGGGTACCACGCATATCCGAGGGCTAGGTTTGAATTCATCAATACCTACTTGGACGAGGAACACCTCCTTAAAACCCCAGTCTTCCAGCTTTTCAGGTCCTTGAGTTAACTTGCCCGAAAAAAACTTTGGCGGGCCCGTATGTGGGTACCACACGTGCTCGGGGATTGGTTTGAAGCTCATTAAGACTTACGTGGACGGGGAACATCCCTTTAAAATTTCAGTTTTCTAGCTTTTCTGGTTCCCGAGTTAGCGATTTACCCGTAAAAAACTTTTACGGGCCCGTACGTGGGCACCACGCGGGTAAGACCGCTCATTTTGGGGATGGGGACCCGTGCACGCATGTAGATTAAGTTCCCAAAGTTTCAGCCCTGTAGCATTTGTAGGTCTTGAGATGAAAAATCGTTACAGAGGCCCAGCGCACATACAAAGACACACATACAAAGACACACATACACACACACACATACACACACACACATACACACACATACACATACACACACACATACACATAGACAACCTCTCGTCAATAGCTGGAAAAAACGCACAAAAAAAAAATAGATACATTCTTCATTAGGTTGCACACATCTACTGGTATAAATTATTAATCAGTAAGTTACCTTAAACTGGCGGCCTCCACGCTAATTTTAGCTTCATATGCCATAGAACAATGCTCTTCAAACTGTGTTGAAGATGAAGCACTAGCTGTGATTTCGGCTTCGACGAGAGCAGATTGAGCCTAAACTACGCTACCCATAATTTACGAATGTGAAGCGAGATGAACAAATGCGGGAGTTTCGAATGTGATATGACTGCAACTCACCTCGTTCTCCTTATCGGCATCTTTACTAGCAACACTACATTCTTTATCTGCTATAGCGCATAACTGACTCGTCGATGACTGCCTGTAAGGTTCATCGATATGATAACTGGGCATAAAGCAATGGGACACTAACAACCAAAACCAAAAAGCACGATACCAGACCTGTACACCTGACTTTCCGGCTTCTTTTTAGCATCGTTATCAACCGATGGTGACCTGCTCTGTCTAATCTTCTTCTTAGTTCTGCCCTTGATGTTATTCGGAGTTGATAAGCGACAATCTGACTCGCGTTCCTGACTTTTACTTCTGCAATAAAAAACCGCTCAAACGCCGGGCTGGCTAGAGCCTTCAAAAACATCATCTGCGAGACAAAAATTAGAAATATATTTCAATATATACTTCGAAGATGACTTCCTTCCTGTGTCTGACAGGATTGAAGTCCGTCCATGCGGGCTTTTCTCCTTGAGTGTCGACTCAATAAGTCGTTTCTCGTATTCGGCATGTCGGCCGAGATGCATGTCATCTTTGGTAAAACTTACCTCTGTGTCAGCCACGTCATGCAGATACATACAGTCCTGCAACAGTAACAACGTCATCACTGGAAACAATGACGCAGAGATCGAGTAAAACTGAAGTACGAACCGGCTTAAGGCATGGTTGACTGCGGAGGAAATTTGTACAATATTTGGTCGTTCCCAGAGATGCCTTTACAACACGTCCATCTAACTGTGCATTATTGACAGCCTGAAAATGAACTGTAACATGAGTCCAGTAAGCTCAAAATGCGGCCCAGACCCTCCCTTCCACACTTCAATTTTTGCGAACAAATGCGCTCCGCTGCGATACACCGCCAACTGCAGCAGATTTTACAGATGCGAATTTACCATTCGGCTTACTTAAAGACAGAAGAATCGTTGTAACTGCATGGGAAGGATAACAGAAATGACAAAGACAAGATTTCTGCATCCAACGTTTCGGCCATGTCGTTCTATGAGGTCGATATATGACAAACAGAGTGCGCGCATTTATCTATAGAATGTGACAGAATACACAGATGATTGTAATGGACTGGGACATAGTGCGACACTCATTTCTTGCTCGAAGGAACTACGCATGCTAATGAGACAGTACGAGGGACACAAATCAGCCTTCCTATGCGAAACTAAGTTCGAGTTTTAAAACTCTTGATGCAAATCCTGGGATTTTCAACCGTAATTTACAAAAATTATTTTAATCCTCAAATCATCGAAAAACGGTAATTTACTGCAAAACAGAAGTTCCTGCCAGACAAGGCTAATGCAAGTCGTCAACGGCGTCCCAGTACCAAAACAGGCCTGGGAAGGTCTTGCAGCGGATAAGCTAGTCAAGAGACGCAGGCGGCGGAGGAGAGATATAAATTTGCAACCAACATCAATCGATAGTTACTATTTTTAAATTCGCCCTTGAACCGTGTCACAAACCGATTACAAGAGAGGAATAAGAACCCTGAGGTAGATTTTGACAGCAGCAAGCTATCCAGATAATCTGCAAAGTCATATTAGCAGTTCGTACACTTAACATGACTTTCTCGCCAGCCGTGCAACTTGGTCTCTATTTTGTGAAACACGCTAAACTGCAAAAATCTATAAGAAATTTAGACAAAAGGTTTGAAACTGTCAAAAGCAATATCGGCAAGGCCATCGGACTAGAAAACTGGGGAGAAAACAGAAACTCGGCTGTCTAAATCGGAAAAAATGATAAGGCAGGATTATATTATCATGGAAGCAATGAAATTTTACGTGCAAAGAAACCTGTATGGCTCGAAGCGCATCTTCATACTTAGCGTAAGTGACGTAAGCTGTATAAGAAGCCGACTGCGGACCGTTTGAGGATGAAGAAGAACCCACAGCTACCTACAACAAAATATAACTCTTATCCACTTGTGAAGGGCATAGCTTTACCGAGACTTTCTAGACAATGAGTAACCTTCAGTATGCGGCCGTATCTCCCAAAGTATTCGGTTCTTTTCAAAGTTTCAGGGTCGGCTACTCTCGAAGACAAACCCACAACGTACACCAGATTCTTCTGCAGAACCCTGCAACCACCATCGCATTAATTCTTCGTATTCCGCTAACTAGGTTTTCAATCAAACACAACAAAGTTGATGCCTAAATGGGCATTTCACAGCATGAAAAAAATGAATGTGTGGGCGCGCAATAATTCACGCAGCAGCTCAGTTATTAAATGAATTCGTTAATCCAACAGAACAGGTTACACCGCAAACGGGCTCGACAGTTCTCAGGCGTACAAACAGAGAGAACCCAGTCCAGCCCCGGCGTGTTCTCATAGATGCTTGTAAAACGAGCTCCCTTCCTTGTTAACGCATCGGACTTCCATTAATGCGCTAAGAGAAAACTTCAAACACGACAGACCTGTAGGAAGAAAGATGCTTCCTGAGCTCGCATATTTTTATTTTCTGTTGCTGTTGCTTCTGCCTTTTTTCACTTTTCATCTTCAGCACGTCGGATGCAGTCAACGGTTTGAAATTCACCGGGTCTTCAGGATAGGGCTGCCTACACGCCGGACACAGTCCGTTCTCGTCGGTCCGCAAACGATGCCAGCAAAACCTACATATCTAAAATGTGCTTAATTCAAAAATAACAAAATTTTGTGAAATTCTTTCAGAACTATCGAACTTCCCTCTTACTCACCCCGTGCGGCCCGGAAAATACAGCGCAAACATTCAGGTCATTTGGCGGCATTTCCGGGCTAAAGGCTGGGAGGCAGAGTAAATGGGACCGTGCCAATTTCGTGAATCAGCAGGCATGCTATTGCTGCAAACAGCACTGAGAGCTAAAAATTTTTCAAATTTTCTGCAGCTCGAATGGAACAACGCCAGCATTTCACAGTCACCAGCCGGACAGGCCTGTATGAGAGGGGAGAGGAAGTTGGAATGTGGAAGATGGAAAGGGAGCACATTTTACGATGGTACGAGTGGCGATTCGCGGAGCCGAGAGGGCCCGGAAGTCAGGCCTGCCGCAACTGGCTAGCAGTTCAAATCAAAAGAGGTAGTGAATGTCACTCACCTGGTACTCACATTTACACGGGTAAAAATTAATATCATCGATTTCGAGTGGTTCCATGCACAAAGGGCACTGAAAAAAGAGGAAGATAGAGCTGGACAAAAAAGAGAGAACCGTCCCGTCGGGCCGGACCGAAGCGAAGTGAGCGAAATAAGCGAAAGCTGCCGAAAGAAACAGAACAGGTACCTCTTTATCGGATTGATCATCACTCGACATTCTCTGTCACGCTGCTTAGTAATAATGCACTTCAAAAGTCTGAAACAAGCATGGGTCAGTGCATCACCTGGCCATGGCCAACGGGCGGCAATCCACGCCACACTGCACACTGGCGCAGAACGACGAGGCGAATTTAATTCCAAACACAGCAGCAGCACCCCGCCTCCCCC